CGGGGCCGACCATACGATACCCTACACAACTACCACCGAACTCAAATTTTCTGCGGTTGTATATTCCGAGCCTGGGCAATATTTCGTGATATTTGCACCCTCTTACCCGATTAGAGGTAAACAGCACATCTTCCTTACACTGACATATTTTCCGAATATTATTATTCCGAATATCTGGACAATAGCTGTACTGAATAGCTATTGTCCAGATTCCCTTCACCATGGGTTGTGTTGTGATGTTCGGCTTTCATTTGTGGTCTATAGATCGACTCAAAAATAACACAAAAAATTAAGTTTTCGGTCCACTTCATTCCAAAATTATTATCAGATCATCACCGAAAATGATAGGCGTTGTTCTTGACCATACCCGGAACCTCATGGAACATTTCAAAGCGATTAGCGTTATAGTTCCGCTCTCTAGAGTGATAATGGGTAACTAAATAATATACGAATACGGAGATACCTGTAAATATTTAGTTGTAACTCCCACATCCGAGCACATACAACAGTTAATTTACACTGGTCTTATGTCCTTCTTCGGGTCTATGTCCTTCTGTGGTAAATATATATTTATATATATAATTGTACAAATTTTGTACTTTTTCACACAAATGTCAGGGTCCATTTGACCCGCTAAATAAATAAATAAAAAATAAAACAATCATGCTTATTCTTTGGTCCGATCCCCTTCTCCATGCAAAATTTCACGAAGTTCGGGCCATTATTACGGCCTCTGGAGCGACCAGAAAAACCGAAAAAAATAGTATTTGTTCCATTTCATTTCCTAAATATTAACCGATCTTTCCCAAAAACAATAGGGGTCTTCATTGGCCAGAACCCATCCTATATGCAAAATTTCGTGAAAATTTGTCCATAACTGTGGCCTGTATCGTGTTTACAAATAATAATGGACAGACGGACGGACACACATGTCTAGATCGACTCAGCTAGTCGAGATATGACGATCGGTATACTTAAAGGTGGGTCTAGGACGAATATTTCGTGGCGTTACAAACTTTTGGGGCTGCACAAAGCTATAATACCCTGACAACATAGTTGTGTAGGGTATAAATATGTAGCATTGGATATCCAACTTCTTCCATGAATAGAATTGATATTTTAAAGAAGGTAAAGAGGTCTCCTTTCTTAAAATGGCAACTTTATCGGATCATGTTTTCCTGGAATGACATTTACGCAACAAGATTCAAAATTTGTCATTTTACACACAATCGTTTTTTTTCATTTGTTCCGTTAAACATTGACCGATTGTGACAAAAATTAAGTGTTTGGTCCCTTTCAACCGATTCTTACCAAAAAATAACTGTTTGCTTTGGCCCAAACCGGACTTATAAGGAAATATTCGTGACGATTGGTCCATAACTGTGGCCTGTACATTATTTTCAAATCATAATGAACAGATGAACAAAACACAGGTGTACATCGACTCAACTAATATATAGACCCACCATTTAGTCAACAGATTATAATACTAAGTGGTGGGTTGAGGACTTGCAAACACTTGGTACAGCTCATCTATTTGACCCAAGGACGAACCTATTAAAATCGGGATAAATCGTTTCAGATTTAGATATATCTCCCAGGTATATGGGGAAAAAGAAATCCATTAATTGTATATGCAATATAGGACTTTATTTAACATGCTTCGGAATGTCCGATTTGACCAAATATGCACCGTTTTGTTGTATAACTTTTTGCCATTTTACGGGTAACTTCAAGATGTCTTCTCACATAGAAGACCTACTCTTTATTTGTAAAAATCTCTAGTAGTCGATTTTCCCAATCCTCCCTAGATACCAATTTTTTTTTTTCATTAAAGAAAATTTGCAATGCAAAAAACAATATGATGACTTCTCTTGGTGCCAAAAACCAACAACAAAACAATTACAAAATTTTTTGTAAATTATTTCTCTTCTCTTTTAAATCTTTAAATATTATGTACAAAGTTCAAATCTGTAACAAGCATGTGTGTGGCGAGCGTTGTCCTGTTGAACAATCTTGAAAAAGTAAAATCCTGAATGGCCAATCCTGGCCGTTTGCAATGCTGTTAGAAAATGCTTTGGCCACTGTTTGTATGGCGAATGGTTCTTCCGCTCTTTGACCACGATCGATCGACTGTAGATGTGTGTGGCGAGCGTTGCCCAGGTGGAACACGACACCTCTCCTGTTCTGGTCGTTTCTAACTGTTAGTCCTGGTTTGGCCACTGTTTGGGGTGGTTCTCCGCTCTTTGACAACGATCGATTTCACTCAGGGTTATCGTATGTGATCCATTTCTCATCTTCAGTCACAATTCGTTTATAAAATGGGTCTATTTCATTCCGTTTGACCAAGGCTTTGCAGATGGAAATTCGATTCATCCTAAAGTTTCTGTTAGATGGTTTAAAACAGTTTTATGGTCGATTTTTAGCTCCTGGGCGATGTTACGACAGCTAACATGCCGCTCAACTTCGATCATTTCTCCGATTTTATCGACATTTTCGACGACCTAATATATTTTCGTCCGATTCAATGTAAATGGTGCACCAAACTCCCTTTATATCACTTTTGATTTGGACGAAATTTGGTATGGCGAACTGAATTAAGTCTATAAAGTTGTGTGCTGAGTTTCGTGGATATCGCTTCAGATTTAGATATAGCTACCATATATATTTTTGTCCGATTTACTGTAAATGGTGTATCAAAGTCCCTATATAATTTTTGATTTGCGTGAAATTCGTCATAGCGTACTTAATTGAGTCTAGAACGATGTGTGCAAAGTTTTGTGAAAATCGGTTCAGATTTAGATATAGCTCCCATATATATTTTCGTCCGATTTATGGCACATTTACGACATAAATTTCTTTCGATTTGCACAAAATTTGGCATAGCGTACTTAATTAAGTCTAGAAAGATGTGTGCAAATTTTAGTGAAAATCGGTTCAGATTTAGATATAGCTCCCATATATATTTTCGTCCGATTTTATATAAAAAGCCCCCATATTTATTACATTTGCACGAAATTTGGTATGTCGTACTGAATTGTGTCTAGAAAGATATGTGCTAAGTTTTGTGAAAATCGGTTCAGATTTAGATATAGCTCCCATTAATATTTTCGTCTGATTTTATGGCACATTTACGGCTTAAATTTCTTTCGATTTACACAAAATTTGGCATAGCGTACTTAATTGAGTCCAGAAAGATGTGTGCAAATTTTAGTGAAAATCGGTTCAAATTTAGATTTAGCTCCCATATATATATATATATATATATATTGGTCCGATTTTATGTAAAAAATTTGGCATAGCGTACTTAATTAAGTCTAGAAAGATGTGTGCAAAGTTTTGTGAAAATCGGTTCAAATTTAGATATAGCTCCAATTTAATGCAAATTATACACCAAACTCATAATGTTTGTCCGATTGACACAAAATTTTATCATATTGAGACTAGAATGACGTTATTACGTTTTTTTGAAATTGGTACAGATGCAGACATAGCTTCCATATAGATTTCAAACGGGTGTCTGATTGAGATTAAATTTTGAACAGTGCTTTAAATCGATTTACATAAATTGGCCCATTGTATGCAAGCGACTCTAAATCTGCCCGAATGAAATGAAATTTAGCATAGGTTACACGCATGCGTATGAATTGATCTTAGTCGGTTCACTTATCGTTCAATTTCATGTCAGTGTTCCTTCGAAAAGACTACGTCTGTAAGGATACACATGTAAAATATACCTATAGTGGTGAAGGGTATCACATAGTCGGCCCAGTCCGACTTTACTATTTTCCTTATTGCTTTTTCTATAAGAAGAAGCCCTTCAGAAGTCTTCATGTACCATCTGGTTCTCTTATCAGATCAGTGTGCCTTCTGCATGCTCTCCAATTGGTACAGTACTTCGGTGCTGGTGCGCTGGTGGGCGTTTTTCCGCCTGTGGCTCAGCCACTGTGTGATAGGCCTATTGGCAGGTACTCACATAAAACTCTTCAAGATCAGATCATCTATAAGAACTTCTGTTCTTCTATTAGAGAAACTTCTGAATTTCTATAAACATTGGTGAAATACACTAAAATAATATTTGATAAAAACAATATTCGTATTTTCGCTATGAGGTCCAATATTTATAATGGCTTTTGTAACTCATCAAGCATCTGATAATTTTGCGCATAGCATATTTTGTATTCAGTTATTCCACTTTTTTTCTTTATTTCTTTTATTGCAAAATTCAATAATAGATACCCCATACCTTTATGTATGTCAATGTATGTTGTGTCAATTTTCACAATTACTCGAAGCAAAGATTTTCAAGTTGCCTCAAACCTTAAAACCTATTTTTGCATTCATCACATTGTTTTTTGGGACTTTCTTTTTGTAAGGTCACAAGACAAGTAATTGTAATTGCTTTGTGCCAAAAAAAAACGAAAGATTTTTCTCAAATTCTTGGCTAAAGAAATTCTAATTCAAACAACAACAACAAAAATCACATCACCTCACCAAAGACACGAGAACAGAAAGAAATTATTTTCCAATCAAAACATCATTAAACAAATTTCTTTGTGAATAGACAGATACACACCCTGGAACTTTGGTGATTTTAAAGTGTGCACATGTCTAGGTATTTTTTCTCTCTTTCTTCTTCTTCTTCTATTTATGGACCAATGTAGTTTAAGGTTAACCATGGAAGTTGTAATTTCATCAGCATGTGTAAATCTAGTTGCCTTAAAAAACCGCAGGCGTCCTAAATTGCTCGATGATGGCTAATAAAAGAAGATGATAACATGAATAGCAAAATAGCAGACGGCTAATTTAAAACCAATATTTTGTGAGGGCGTTTCTTATGAAATTTCAATAGATCGAAAAATATATAAATTCTCCATGAATTTTTATTGTGTGGTTTTAAAACATAAAAAACCTCTATTGTTTATTAAATCATTAAAATATATATTTTTTTGGAACATCATTAACATGTAATTTTTTTCTCTTTTACTTTTGGGTTACAGGCAAATATGGGCTCTTTCACACATCATCATCGCAGTCTCTACACATCACTGAGTATATTGGTAAGTTGATTTGTTTTTGGAACTGATTTTTTTGGCATTTCCAAAATGTTGAAAAGAAAAAGTGTTGATCTTGTCGCCTTCACTTTTCTCTGTGCCATTATCTATGATTAATTATCTTCTTCTTTTCTTTCTTATTTTTAGTTAATTGTATTGTCAATAGTAAATGGTGCCCAAATACCAACAAAAAGTAAGTATTTAAATAAATTTGAGTAATATTTAAATAAGTTATTTAGTAGATAAATAATAATATTTTCTAAAAAACAAAAACGAAGTTTAGTTCTCCGGTGAAGAATATTTTCCGCTTCGAAGAAAAAACAGATTGGTCTTTTACTATGGCCATTTTGGTCTAATATGAGGTGACTTATTGATTTATGTTCTAATGGAGCTTCGTTTTGGTCTAACCTAAGTTGGCCACCTGTCATCTAACAAATAACGTTTTGGACTGCCATACTGGACTTCCATAGGAAGTTCTCCCATCCGGATTTCTATAATCTATACCATAAAGTATGGCTTCTGTAAAAAGTTCCTATAGAGGGAACTATTGGATTTCTGTAAAACCATGTAGTGGCCTTCGATAAGAAGACAGCCTGCTATCATCTGCATTAAGTCCCTCTGGTTATGTACAAGAATACCTTCTTCTCTTCCTTCAAAAATCCTCTGGGCTTCTATATGAATACTTTCTGGACGTCAATAAGGAAGCTTTCTGACCTTCCATATGAACACCTTCTGGTCTTCTATAAGAAGAGAGACGTTTGGCTTCTTTATAAGGATTTCCCATCCTTTAATGAAACATCTTCTGTTATTTTCTGAATAAGAATTTCCAGTGTTTTATAAAAAGACTGAAATTCAATAAAAGGGGAATTACACGAATACCTGTTGGTCTTCTATAAAGACCTTTTGGTCGCCTTAAAGAAAACTTTTGGACCATTTATAAGAGCTTTTGTTGGAACACTAGTGAGGTTTTTAGGCTTTTTCAGCTGAAGTTTCAGATCTTCCACAATGAAAATCTTCTACTCTTCACTGAAGAATATCTTCTGAAAAAAACTCCAGTTCTTCTTGTTTGTCTCGCCTTTTAATGAAGCCTTCTATTCTTCTTTGAAAAAGGCCTTCAGCTCTTCTATGAAGAAGACCTAAAGCACTTCTATGAAGAAGACCTAAAGCTCTTCGATGAAGAAGACCTAAAGCTCTTCTATGAAGAAGACCTAAAGCTCTTCAATGAAGAAAATCTCAAGCTCTTCAATGAAGAAAATCTCAAGCTCTTCTAAGAAAAAGACATAAGCTCTTCTATGAAGAAGATCTCAAGCTCTTCTATGAAGAAGACCTAAAGCTCTTCTATGAAGAAGACCTAAAGCTCTTCTGCGAAGAAGATCTCTAGCTCTTCTATGAAGAAGACCTAAAGCTCTTATATGAAGAAGACCTAAAGCTCTTCTATGAAGAAGACCTAAAGCTCTTCTATGAAGAAGACCTAAAGCTCTTCTATGAAGAAGACCTAAAGCTCTTCTATGAAGAAGACCTAAAGCTCTTCTATGAAGAAGACCTAAAGCTCTTCTATGAAGAAGACCTAAAGCTCTTCTATGAAGAAGACCTAAAGCTCTTCTATGAAGAAGACCTAAAGCTCTTCTATGAAGAAGACCTAAAGCTCTTCTATGAAGAAGACCTAAAGCTCTTCTATGAAGAAGACCTAAAGCTCTTCTATGAAGAAGACCTAAAGCTCTTCTATAAAGAAGAGCTCAAGATCTTCTATGAAGAGGACCTCAAGTTCTTCTATGAAGAAGACCTAAAGCTCTTCTATGAAGAAGACTTATGAAGAAGACCTAAAGCTCTTCTATGAAGACGACATCAAGCTCTTCTGTGAAGTAGACATCGAGTTTTTTATAAAGACGACCTGTATATTTTTTATAAAAAAACCTATCACCCCTTCTGTGCAGACCTTGAGAAGACATTTCAGCTATTTAAAGAATTCCCCCTACTATATTAAGTCTTTCCTATTAAGAAAACTTGTCAGCTCTTCTGTGCGGAGAACCTTCGCTATTCATTTAAACAGCATTTTATGTCAGTTTTTACATTTTTATAATCCTAATCATGCAATTTTCCACGAACGAATATTTTCATTTTCCTGATCTTAGGTAATAATTAGAAGCAACATAAACCTGAATCTTCACTATTATCGCAAACAAGCTGTCATATTTTAATGACAACCATAAATTACAGAGAATTGAAAACAAGATAAAATATCATTGGAAAAATCCATTTACAAGCCACATAAATACCGACCAGTCGTTTGTAACGCAAAAATTGCCCCCATAAATATCAGAACGTTGCCATGGGATGAGGAAAACACCAGCATTTCTAATTATGAAGAAAAAGGTTAGTGATCTCTTCTCATAAAAAATGGTATAATATAATTGGATCGCCTTTTGCATGGGACGAGATAGAACCAATGCAAAATTCTTCGGGGGAACGAACACAGCAGTCATATATCAGCAGGCTATAAAAACAACATTTATGATTATTTCTGCCAAGGCAAATTGCAAAATAAAATGAAAAACTGAATAAGAACAAGAAAACTTAAATTAGTTTTGCATCAAACGGTAGACCATGCAACCATATCCAGCTCTACAACAGCTACCTAATCAAAATGCAGTAACAAAAAAATTTAACGAACTAGGAAGTTGTTGAGCCTCAATCTAACATTGCAGCAAAATAGAAAAAATGATCATCATTATACAATATGGTAATACATACATAAATACATATGCAAGTTCTAAGACTTATTTTCCTGGTCTTCATTTTTCATCGCTGAATTTCTGCTGGTTCGTTAAGGTTTAGACACCATCAGCATAGAAACGACCACCAAAAACCAAAACACTCTTTCAACATGCCTCAAAGAAAAATCCAACGCCATGCCATGGTTGGTAACAACCATGGAGGTGAATATTCTTTCGTATTTGTTTTGCCTGCCTGGCCATGGAGATGAGGCAGGCTTCTGTATATTTTTTCACGTTTTGCTTTGAACAATTCTCTGGGCATCCACTGGGAGTGTTGCTCATCATGATGATGTTATTCGGCTTCAACTGTGCAGAATATTGTTAACGATGGCCATGAAGTAAAGAACCTTTTGCCACCAAAACATTCGTCCCCCTTCTCGTTCGTCTCTTCAACAGGCTGGTCTGGTTATGGGCTATGTTGAGTTTTTGCTGGCACCCAGCACAAAAAAAGTGGTCTAAACAGGAAATGTTGCAAATAAAGAAGAATGAATTCAACAAAGTTGCTGTTGTTGCTGCCTTAGAATTGACGATGATTATCATGTTGATGGCAATGACGACAAACAATTCTTGGTATTGCAAAAAGGTAGAGAATTGCCAAAGAATGTGCCAGAAATAAAAGAAGCAGAAAACGTAGGGTCGGGTGAAAACGATCACTTGGTTCCCTACATACCAAATTAGGGATATAAGGACAAATGACAAATGTCTTACTCATTGAGAGCTATAATAAAGCTGGAGGTATTCTTCTTCATAGAAAAGCTTCATATAAAAGCTGGTGGTCTTTTTCATAGAAGAGCTTTAGGTCTTCATCATAGAAGAGCTTTAGGTCTTCATCATAGAAGATCTTTAGGTCTTCATCATAGAAGAGCTTTAGGTCTTCATCATAGAAGAGCTTTAGGTCTTCTTCATAGAAGAGCTTTAGGTCTTCATCATAGAAGAGCTTTAGGTCTTCATCATAGAAGAGCTTTAGGTCTTCATCATAGAAGAGCTTTAGGTCTTCATCACAGAAGAGCTTTAGGACTTCATCATAGAAGAGCTGAAGGTCTTCTTCATAGAAGAGCTTTAGGTAGTCCTTATAGAAGAGCTTTAGATCTTTTTCATAGAAGTGCTTTAGGTCTTCGTTATAAAAGAGCTTTATGTTTCTTTATAGAAGAGCTTTAGGTCTTCTTTATAGAAGAGCTTTAGGTCTTCTTTATAGAAGAGCTTTAGGTCTTCTTTATAGAAGAACTTTAGGTATTCTTTATAGAAGAGCTTTAGGTCTTCTTTATAGAAGAGCTTTATGTCTTCTTTATAGAAGAGCTTTATGTCTTCTTTATAGAAGAGCTTTAGGTCTTCTTTATAGAAGAGCTTTAGGTCTTCTTTATAGAAGAGCTTTAGGTCTTCTTTATAGAAGAGCTTTAGGTCTTTTTTATAGAAGAGCTTTAGATCTTATTTATAGAAGAACTTTAGATCTTATTTATAGAAGAACTTTAGGTCTTCTTTATAGAACAGCTTTAGGTCTTCTTTATAGAATAGCTTTAGGTCTTCTTTAGGTCTTCCTATATAGAAGAGCTTTAGGTCTTCTTCATAGAAGAGCTTTAGGTCTTCTTCATAGAAGAGATGAAGGTATTCTTTATAGAAGAGATTGAGTTCTTCTTTATAGAAGAGATTGAGATCTTATTTTTCATAGAAGGGCTTTGCATTGAAAAGCTGAAGGCTCTTTTTCTTCATAGAAGAGTTGAAGCTCTTCTTCTTCATAGAAGAGTTGAAGCTCTTCTTCTTCATAGAAGAGTTGAAGCTTCTTCCTCATAGATGAGCTGATGGTCTTTTTCTTCATAGAAGAGCTGATGGTCTTTTTCTTCATAGAAGAGCTGGAGGTATTCTCCTTCATAGAAGAGCTGGAGGTATTCTTCTTCGCAGAATTGCTGGAGGTCTTCTTCTTCATAGAAGAGCTGGAGGTCTTTTTCTTCATAGAAGAGTTAGAGGCATTCTGCTTCATAGGGAGCTGGAGGTCTTCTTCACAGAAGAGTTTTGATCTTTTCTTATATAAAAGAGCTTTAGGTCTTTTTTTCTACATAGAAGAGCTGGAGGTCGTTTTCTTCCTTATAGAAGAGCTGAAGATCTTTTTCTTCCTTATAGAAGAGCTGCATGTTTTTTCTTCGTTAAAGAATCCATAGAGGCCTTCTTCATTTCGTAAAAGGTCTGGAGGTCTTCTTCTTCCTCATAGAAGAGCTGGTGGTCTTCTTAATAGAATAGTTAAAGGTTCTCTTCTTCATGGTAGATTCGGATGCCTTCTTCATAGGTTTGGGTTTTCTCATAGAAGAGTTTTATATATTCATACAGAATCGGTAGAATTAAATTCTTTGAAGGCTAATTTCTCAGATTTCCTAATTCATCATTTTTTTTCTGTGTAACGGTTCATATTGGCAACAAAATCCCAAGTCACTGTACTGT